ATGACTAAAAAAAGTCCACTTACTACCCAGTTCTAAAAGAAAAAAACAAAGACGTGAGGCAGAATATGAATCTGTAGCCTAGCCAGCACGGGCTATAGATCTATTAATTTACTTCCATTCCACTACAGCTCTATAGCACCATCCTCTGACCAATCCACCTGTTTTTCTACCTTCCTATTTACTTTCAAGATTGTAATTGGTATGGAGTTAAAAGAACTAAGACAGTGGTTCTTAACAGTCACTGAATTAAAAAGAAATCACCTGTGGAACTTTAAAAATGAAACACAGGACCTACACCTAGAGTAAATCTAATTGATTTGGGGTAGGTCAGTGTTCTTAAATAAACTGCATTGAAACTACCTGGAGGGCTCATTAGAATAGATTATTGGGCCAGATGTGGTGACTCATGCCTGTAATCCTAACACTTTGGGAGGCCAAGGCAGGTAGATCACCTGAGTCAGGAGTACAAGACCAGCATGGCCAACATGGTGAAACTCCATCTCTATAAAAATATAAAAATTAACCGGTGTGCTGGCAGGTGCCTGTAATACCAGCTACTTGGGAGACTGAGGTTGGAGAATTGCTTGAACCCAGGAGACGAAGGTTGCAGTGAGCCAAAATTGTGCCACTGCACTCCAGCCTGGGCACTAAGGTGAGACTCTGTCTCAATAAAAACAGATTAGATAGATAGGCAGACAGATAGACAGACAGATAGATAGATAATTGGGCTCTACCCTGGCAGTTCCTGATTTTGGGGGACTGGGATGGTATGCAACTATTTGTATTTGAATTTTCTAGCAGGTCCCCAGGTGACAGTGTTGCTGCTGGTCTGTGGACCAGACTTGAGAACTACTTGGGAAGTTTTTAGTTCTTTTAGTTCAGGTAATTTTTAGTTCTTCAGGATAATAATGGTCAGCCAGTTGAAAAACTTTGGTTGAAAACAGTAATTCTCCATCTTCTCTGGAGAATCACTTGGGGAATTAAAAACAACAACTGATGCCTGGGTACCTGTAAGGGGTTCTTTTTAAATTGATCTTGGGTGTAGCCTGGGCCTTAAGATTTTAAAGAGCAACATATTATTTAAAAGAATCATATCCCAGGTGATTCTAATGTCCAGCCAGGGGTGAGTATCACTGAAAATTTTCTGCCTCCTCAATTCTTATTACCATTTACCTCAAATTTCCCCAAGAGAATCAGATACTTTGACCACTACAATATATTAACAATTTCTTTCTAACTTGCTGTCTATGAACAATGGTTCCTTTCCACTTTGATTTTTTTCTTTGTTTCTTTGATGTTTTAATAATAGTTAATATTTACTGAATACCTGGGATGTAGAAGGCTTGGTGCCGAGTCTTTACCTCTTTACCAGGTTTTTTGGGTTGTTTTTGGTTATTGAACAGTTATAATTTAAATCTTTTCTCAGAAAGAGACCCTGCATTTTTTAGAATCAACATTGTCTTATAACTTGTGGTTAATAGATCACATTTTATTTTGTTTCTACTGATTAGAAACTAGACAGGGAGAGAGGAGGGGGAAGGAGAAGGGAGAAAGAGAGGGAGAAACATATAGAAAACAAATTCTTCTGATCTGCTTCAACACATTATGCTTAATATTTGAGTCTCTGTGAATCTTCATGGAGGTTCTCCAGAAATGGACAAAGATTCAGTATTTCCAGAGGAAAATTCCACGAATACCTATGACTCCATCCAAAGGCAGCTGATTTTCCTTTTGCTCTTGATTAATGCATTCTTTCCATTTCCAACTAAAAAAAGCCCACTGATTTTCCCCCCAAAAGATACTTCCTTTGGAACATACCAAAAATACCATTAAGAACAATGATATGAGTTGTTTCAGGTGAAGAGTTTTTCGTTAAGAAGATTTTTAAATATAGATTCAATTGTTTCTACGGCAGCTTTGGTCAAGGCTTCTTGGCAGGGCTCTATGGCGCACTTCCCACAAGATGGCACTGTTGTATGCGGCTGGAGAGCCCTCAGCCTCATCTTCACAGTTACGGCCAAGAACGCATCCCTACAGCTTTAGTTCTTGAAATGCCCTTTGTTTCTAGCTTCAGGAGATCTGCGAGCCATCAGGAGTATATCTTTAACATTTAGGTCTATGGCTTAGCAAGGTGTCTAATAAGCGATACTTAATAAATGTCTACTAGATGAAAGGATTAATGAATGATACATGTGTATCAATTTCACATTAGCCAACACCAGAGGAAGGGGACTGAGGCTGGAACAACTCCAAGGGGGAAGGAATTGAGGGCCACTGCACTATCTCCCTTTGTGATGAAAGAGTTCTTCGGGACTCCATTGTTCTTTTCCTGACTTTCTGACAGGTTTTGACAAGAACACGATTCACCCTAATAAGGCCTGATGGCCCATCTGCTTACCCAGCCATTTTCCTCTTTAAAATGGGCAAAGCAACTATTCTGACACAAAATTAGTTACAGCAAAAAACATGTGGGGAGTGTCCATTAATAAAAGGTAGACCATACAAATAATATATGTTGCCAGAGAAAGAAATTCTCGGGCAGTCTTTCAGGTCTGATAAGCCCACTGTGGAAAAGGACTTTGTGGGGAAACGTGGTGGGTGAGAAAGCTCCACCGTGAGGTCAGAGGGTGGTGTTCAACCTGAGCTAATGGCCTCCCCCAGGTCACTTTCCCTCTCTGTGCTTCAGTTTCCTCCCCTTCAGATGCGGGGGGAGGGGTACCAGCTGATCGCCAGGGACCCTTCTAGGTCTGACACAGTCTTCTATCTTTTCTTCACATTATGGCTTAAACAATCATTGTGTAAATAACTAAGGGCCAGCCAGAGAATTCTACATGTTTGGTTTGAGGGAAAGAAATAATTGATTTCAAACAATGGTAAAATGCTAGGGTTTCTGCTTTGTTTGTTTTGGTATCAAATATAAATATCCCTCTGTATTAGCTGTTGCTCCTGTTTTCCCATAGCACTGATTTTCTGAAGCAATATAGGCTTACAGTATATTATTCTTTAAAATGTTGTATGAAGCCAGTTTGGAGTTTTTAGGCACCGAATTTGAATGGTCAAGTTATGATGCTTAGTTTGTAAAGTTAATAAGTTTTCCAGGAGCCTGTTTCACATTATAAGACTACTATGAAACCACCAAAGTTGATCTAATCTAGTTACCTGTCTTGGGTGATTAGCAAGCATCATTATGAGTAGGTTGATACCAACTAGCCACTTTAATTGACATAATTGAAAAAGACTGGCTCAGTTGGAGCCAAGTCTTTGGGTTGCAAAGACTTTTACCCTATAAAGTCATTAGGAATTAACTTTGTGACCCTTGAATGAGAAGCAATGATTCAGAAATTATAAAAACAGGCCATAAATCAAAATTAGTATCTGTTAAACAACTAACTTCATTCCAAGATGAGCTTTGGTTATTTGCCCATAAAACTTAATACGCTATCCACACCTGCTAATAATCACAAAAGATTTTTGAAAATTCCATTTCATTACAAAGGGATTATTTGTCTATGCCTTATCCCCCAAAAATAATATCCCAACACTGAAGCAAAAGGAATCAGTTACCTATCTACCTAATGGTGACCAACAACAGAAATTTAGCGCTTTCAAGAGTTGGGCCATTTTTATCCTTATTTGAAACAACTAAAGTAAGGCTTCGGCTCTCAGAAGGAGCAATCTGCTGCTAGGGTCTGCCCAAATTCCAAGCACCTGCTTTCTCTGATCTGGAGGCAGATGGTACCTCGTAAAAATAAAACACAGGGGGAATGTACAGAAAGATATTCCCTTTAAAACCCTTTACGAGGTTCTTTTTCCTAAAATCTCATACTATAAATATACATGTTTTATGTTAATATCATAGCTCAGAATTTGGGAACTGATGCAGGGTCATAAGAAAAGTTTTCTTGGCCTGATTGAGTCATATACATGTATTCACATATTTCCACAGGATGAAAAATCAGTCTGTAGCTTATAACCACCTAGGCAGGACATTTTATTTTTGGAATTCTAATAAATATCCTAAACAGTAGCAGCTGCTGCCCTTATTATTCAATACTACCACTCACTGCAGCTCTATTAAGTTTCTTCATTACAACTCTTAGGCACTGCTCAATGGGGTAACCTCATTTATATTTGTAGGACTTGGATAGATGAGCTTGGCTGTAATAAATTGGCCTCAGGATAGGCTTTTCCACTATAATTATTTAGAGTAATGCTTCTCAAACCTTACAGGCATCAGAATCCCCTGCAGGGTTTGTTAAAACAGATTTGTTGGCCTGACTCCCAGAGATTCTGATTTAGTAGTTCTAGGGTGGGACCTGAGAATTAGCATTTCTAACAAGTTCCCAATGAGGCTGATGCTGTTAGTCTGAAGGCTACATTTTAAGAACCACTGATGTAGTGGTTCCCTTTGGAGTGTCTTATCAGTTATGTTTCTTTGGGCTTGTATTAGCTTCTCAGTTAATACCCATTTTATGCTGAACACATTTGAAACGTGTTATTTGTTTATATTCAGGTGTTGCAGTTACACACAAAGATGATTGACAAGTAGATGGACAGATTTGCTGAAGCAAGGCTGTTCCACGCTGTGAGTATCTGGGAGAATCAATGAATGCAGTATGTTTGATCAGTTTATGTGCAACTTCCCAAGTCACTGGGAGTTACCGGAACATACACAACACGATGCACTTCCGACATAAATGTCTACTAGAATCTGACAGATAATCATCTTATCCTTACTAATTTTTATCTTAGAATTTAGATTTAGCCCTTAAAGATGCTGGATTCTGCTATCTTAAATCTGCAAGCACACTCCCAATAGCTCGTGCTAAGCAAATATTGACAAAAGAGTAATATGAAGCAATTGAGCAATGCTTAGCATTTATGTTCACCTCGTTTCTCTTATAACCCACATATGGTTAAATTTTAAAACATGGTTCTGTCACAAAATAGCATCATGGTGTTAAGATTTACTTCAAATGCACTTTGGAATGTAAACATACCTTATTTAACTTCACAAAATATTCCAGTCCAGCTTCCAAAGGATTTGTATCACAGTTCATCTAAAAAGGAAACACACATTTTAAATGTTAGATGAGTGCAAATCATTTCAGTAACATCACTTTCCTATTTGTTTTTAGGAGAAATAACACTTTTTGATTTTTCAACACAGATTCTAAAGAAAGGCAAACTAGGCCGGGTGCGATGGCTTACGCCTGTAATCCCAGCACTTTGGGAGGCCAAGGCGGGTGGATCACAAGGTCAGGAGATCAAGACCATCCTGGCCAACATGGTGAAACCCCACCTCTACTAAAAATACAAAAATTAGCTGGGTGTGGTGGCGCATGCCTGTAATCCCAGCTACTTGGGAGGATGAAGCAGCAGAATTGCTTGAACCAGGGAGTCAGAGGTTGCAGTGAGCTGAGATTCGCACCACTGCACTCCAGCCAACCTGGCAACAGAGCAATACTCAGTCTCAAAAAAAAAAAAAAAAATAAAGGCAAACTGTAGACTGGTTTTGAAAACAATTTTTTAATCCAAAATTCAATGTAGCCTTTCAGCAAAAAATGTCATTTGAGTATAACAAATACAAAAACTAAAATTCACTGTGTTCCATAGCTCTCTCATTTTAATAAACATCTGAGGGAATGCACGTGATGTTCCCTCTAGAAACAAGATTTTCACATGTATTTATGCAATCATTTTACATAACTACGTTTTGAAAGGTTATTAAGCAATTTAGTTATGTCACAGCCAAGAATCAGGATAAGGTGGAGGGAAAGCAGATGGTGGGAAAGTAGCTGATGGAGTTCAGGAGAGAAAAAAGGAATAAGCAGAGTTTGAATCTCTCTCTCTCCAAATGTGAGCAAGCCACTGTGATATCTACCAAATCACGGCTGTTTCGTTGCTCTCTTTGCAGTGAGAGAACTAGTCTAAACCCCCTAAAAGTAGCCAAACTTTTAAAGCAACACAGCACCTACGTAAACCAATTGAATGTGCGCTTGTTTTACATGACATAAAGCATTGCCTCATATTTCTTAATTAATTTGAGCTACTCTAAAATTATTTTATCTGTTCAAAATTTCAGAATTTCTTCAAAGAAAAAAATAAAAATAAAAATGAAGCACAGAGGATCACAGTACCAACACTAGAGGGCGCTCTGGCACTGCTGGAAAGTCGAAGGGATGGAAGAAGGAGAAAAGCTTTCCAGAAGAGGTCGCAGGGAGAGGAAATCTGAGAAATTAAAAGGCAGGAGGATGGAGAAGTGTCTGACTCCCAAAGAGCTGCTCCTGCTGCTTCATTCCTTGGAGAGTGCAGGGACCGCACTGTCCTCTGCTTCCGTTCCTGAGCCTAGCCTTGCCTCAGTCCCCAGTTGTAGCTGGAGAATCCCTTAATAGGGGACCTCTCGCGGAGACCTTGCCCACTTGCTTCTGTGTACTCTAAATGCCCCTGGGTCCCTGCCTAGGCTTTCAAACATACTCTGCCCTCCAATCAAATGCATTTAATTATGTACTTGGCACTTCCTAGACTCTCTCTTTCTATGATAATTCTGTTGCATAAAAATTCCATTTTTTAGAAAAGCAAACAGAAGATCTGGAGGGTTAGGCCAGATAGCTGGTGCGTAGCGGAGGAAAAATTCACACCCAAGAGTCCCCGCTCTGAGTCCATCTTTTACCACTATCCTTTATTTCATCTTTGAGGCCTAAAACCTCAGTGTCTTCCAAAGAAACAATTAGTGAATCTGAAATAGTGAATGGGTCCAGAGAATAGCCTGCCATATTGGAAATAAAAGTTAGGAGAACAGAATTTGAACCACAGGTTGGCCACTTACTAGATAATCTGGACCAAGTGGTTCTCTAAATCTCAGTGCTACTATGTGCAAAATAGAGGTAATGGAGAGTTGAGAAGGAAACTGAAATCATGCATGTGAAAATATGTAAATGGTTAAAGCACTATACAAATAGAAAGTCTTGGTAACCATTATTAATGGTGGAGGAAGGCTGGACCACCACATCCTGGACCATCACCCCTGCCCCTCAGAAACGAGTGTTAACTCACCAAAAGTTACAAGATAAGAAGAAAATGAAGACAGGCAAAATGACAGAGGTGGAGAGACTTTGAAAAGTGTTACTCTAATCCCATGAGGTAGGCCAGCTCCCCACTGTCCAAGACAGATTTCTAGGGTTCTCAGCCAACGAGGATCAATTAAGGCAGAATAAACGTGACGTCACAATTCCACTGAACTTTCACTTGAGAATTTAAGGAGAAAAACCTCTTCCCCTAATTAAATAAAGTTATCTAATTATATGGAATTTCTCTTATAGCCAAAACCAATGTTACTGCAGTTAAAACCTGCCCTTATATAAAAATGAAATAAATAAACATAAAATTTTAATAAAGATGCTAGCATTTCAAACCTCGGACCCCCAGGCTCTGAAGGCTTTCTCCAGGCGTAAGGCATTCATGGCATAGGTTCCAAAATTGTCGATTCCCTCCTCCTGGCCTGCATTCATGATCATGTCATACAGCGCCACAGAGTCTTCTCTTCTGTGGTACAGCTCCCAACCCAGTTCACCTGAAATAAACCCGCAGGTGCCGCAGCACAACAAGAACAATGATCACTACATCAAATGTGCTTTAGCTAGAACACATACAAGCAGAAGAAACTGCACTTATGCAACACAGACATTGTCAGTCTCTAAAAAGATCAGTTCACAAAAAGTTACAAGAGCCCACTACGAAGAAGCCCACAATATCACAGATGCATTCGTGCCAATCCTGACACCCACGTAGATGGTGGTACACAGGACACCTCTTGTCACAACACAGAAAGACTATAATGCAGGAATTAATCTCCACCCTGGACCCCAGGTTTTTAATGAGGCTTGACTGTTTTCACACACAATGAGGTTAGGTGAATAGTTAGCATGGCAGTTTATTAAGACAAGGGATTCAATGTTTAAACCAACCCCTTACCCAAAATCACAAGCTTAAAAATATCGTCAATTAAGAATTATTCAAGTTATCATCATAGTGAGAAAGCCATGGTGTCTGACTTCCCCTCCTTCCCACTTCTTCCCTAGTCATTCCATTCATCAAGAGAGCTGTGGGGCAAAAATCAAAAGAAATGAAATGTAACCCCCAAAATCCTACTTATTTTTGTTGTTCTTGTTTTGTTTTTTTTTTTTTTTGTCTTATTTTTTGTTGAGACAGGGTCTCACTGTGTTGCCCAGGCTGGTCCTGAACTCCTGGGCTCAATCAGTCCTCCCACTTTGGCCTCTCAAAATGCTGAGATTATAATATTATTAGAACCAGTTCTGATAATTAATTCACTTTCATTAATCCCATAATGCTGGGATTACAGGTATGAGCCATTGGGTCCAGACCTGCTCATTTTTTATTCTGGATTTTGCCAAGGTTGGGTGGAAGAAAGGCAGAAAAAAGGTATAGCAGGAACCCAGGGAAGAGCTATGGTCTTTAATCTCTATTCTCCTGTTTCCCAAGGTGGAGGGCTCATGGTAAGGTGCTTAACGGGATGCCACAGAATAGGAGCAACATATAATTGAATGAATGTTTGGGCATGCAGTACTCCTTCTGTGAGAGACAAGGTCTAGAAAAACTTAGAAGGGAGCCCAGAGCACTACTGGGGAAGTGAAGAGCATTCCTTCACCTCTGTATCAAATATCTACCATGTGCAAGATTAGGTGCTAGATGAAGACTTCTCAGTGAGCTTAGAGTCTGGAAGGAAAGATAGATTGTTGGCAATGCTCTAGGAGAGGTGCTTGATACACTCAAAATGGTCTCTATGGGAGATTCTGTCTTTGGGAGACCATCTTGAATGTTCACAGATAGAGTTGGCTGGCCTGACTATTTCAACTATTCCAACAGCCAATCCTCTTCCTACTTTTTTTTAAATCTGCCCTTCCAGATGGCAGGCAGCTACGGGACTAGAAATCTGTGGAACCACTTTCAAGACGAGAAGTGAATAGACAAATTTGTCATAAGAGCTGAGCAGAGAAAAAAATGTTCCTCCAAAGTCGCATGGACAAAAGTGAGGGTGAGTGTGCACATGCGTACACACTCACACACACTTCAGGTGGCATGACCTTTTAAATTTAAATCTAAATTTAAAATTTAAAACTGACCTTTTAAATTTCAGAGACTTACTCCAGGTTGTTTTCCAATCTTACCAGTATAAGATATCCTAATAGCAGTGACAGGAATGTTGGAAATCTTTAAGGACTTGGTTTGAAGAAACTTGAAAACATCTTCACTAAGATCTTCAGAGGTCAGCTTCTGAAGGACCTTTCTTGCACGTGGACCAGCAACTCCAAGGACTCCAAGCTCATCGGTTATGTTTTTAATTTCAACATCATACCCACCTTTGACTGCCTCTTCTTCAATCCATCTGTGTTTCAGCCATGAACATTGTGTTAAATATTGCTTGAATAATGCACTTTGGTGACAAATTACTTCTCTGAAGACATGCTTTGTGTCTAGAGTTATCAGAAAGTCCCCAGAGTGTCATTTCACGGAATCACACTGATTTTTAAAGTTGAGGAAACTGAGCCCCAGAGATGTTAAGTGATTCTCTTTAAATCGCCCACTTATAAATTTGGGGGATAATTTTTCACAGTACAGAAGGATCCTTCAATTTAATGAGCTCTGCCACCCAATTCTTTTAAATGGTGACACAGCCCTTTTGCATTTAAACTAATGATTCAGCCTTCAAAAATTGATTTAAACTCAAATTTTCTCTAATACCTGTACACAGGAGGCACAGTTATATTGCTAAAGGTTAATAATGTGCCTGCCACAAGACACGTAATTGCTCTGACAATCACAAGGAAAAGACAGAAACTCTAGTTTCAATTTCTATGTCTTGATGAGTTATTGGGACCAAGTTATAGGACTGGTTTCTAATTTATTGAGCAGTCCCTGAGCTATCTAAGCCTAACACAAAATGTTCGTCTGGATTTACACAAAGCTAAACTATTAAGATGGCCCCAGTATATCTTGGATTGGAGCATATAATTTGCATCACTTTACAACTAAGGTGAGAATCTGTCAGAGTAAGACATCTATTAAATAATAATATTCCAAATATGTTTGGAATATTAGACTAAAGACTTTATAGTAGAATAAAGATTCATGTAAAGGCTGGACTTGGCAGGTCAGCTACTTTAGATCCAGCTGTGGGCCAGGAAGCACAAAGTATCACAAGGGGCAAAGATAATTTAGGAAAGCAGCTTATGGAAGTGGACCGAATGTGCGCATCAAAAGGCTTGTGTAAGTTACCTTAACCCAAACCTCAGTTTCCTCATCTGATAATGGGAATCATGTATACCTTGCAAAATATTAAGAGAATTCATTAAGGTAATGTCTAAAAGAGGTTCTGGCACATTGATGATGCCTGATAAATGCGAATTAATATTATTAGAATCAGTAGCTTATGGATGAGTTACCTTTGGGAGGGGCAGGGGCCCTCATTCTAAATATTTTTGTATTCAAAAAATAAAATTTATTTGCAACAATCAGCTTTAAGAAGAAATAAAGTTGTACTTTCAAGTACTAGTAAAAAGAAAAACTCAATGTAAGATTGAGTCAACATATAATATGTACAAAATTTTCTTACTAGGTGTGCACTTACCTAAGATCATGAAGTTCTGATCCAGAGCCAGTTATTAATAGAAACTCCCCAGGAGATTGGTGAGAAACAGTCAACTCAGCATACACTCGACCTTTGGGTGTTAACATGTGACTTATATTTGTAAAACCCACCTACATAAAAAAATTTAAAATTACCTTAGAATGAAATAAAAATTGCATGAATCCTTTTAACACCCATTTAAATAAAAATGTGGGCCTTAAGAATGAAAAGTATCTGACTCTTACCGTTTGTATAAAGTGTATGAATTATATGTAAACCTAAACCCAACAGTAATTTGAAGTTCTTAAACAATTATTTAAAACTATTTGTCATTTAAAAGCTATTCTTCATTTAATTGCAGAACTCACTTTTAAGTTCCCATTGAAACAATTGAGCAAAGTCACAAGGTCCTTAGATGAGAATTCACTCAATAAAAATTTAAATTTGAAAATTAGCTTATAGGCCGGACATGGTGGCTCATGCCTGTAACCCCAGCATTTTGGGAGGCTGAGGTGGAAGGATGGCCTGAGGTTAGCAGTTTGAGACCAGCCTGGCCAAAATATAGTGAAACCCCATCTCCACTAAAAAATACAAAAATTAGCTGGGTGTGGTGGTGCACACCTGTAGTTCCAGCTACTTGGAAAGCTGAGGCAGGAGAATCACTTGCACCCAGGAAGCAGAGGTTGCAATGAGCTGAGATCGCACCACTGCCCTCCAGCCTGGGTGACAGAGAAAAACTCTGTTTCTCTCAAAAAAAAAAAAAAAAAAAGGAGGAAAGAAAGAGAAGGAAAGAAAGAAAATTAGCTTGTGTATTTTGGTCAGTTGAAGAGTTCTAGTGTTCAGAACTCATTAGCTGAACTAAAATAACGTGGGTTTGGTGGGGGAAAAATGAGAGGATGGAGAATTAAATAGGTCAGAATCCTGAACCTTGTATTCCTACAAGGCTATTTACCTTTGGAATGATATTTGCAAAGAGATGGTCCAATAGTCGAATGGAATCTCGGCCTTTGATGTTAAACTTGCCAAATGGTGTTAGGTCAATCACCCCTACTCTTTGCATAACCTGTTTATACTCAGAGCCCACAGGCTCAAACCAGTTTGTGCGGCGAAAACTTGGCCTGAAACACAACATTTGGAGTCATAAAACAACTGCCGTTCATTTTTCAAAAATTACACAATACTGATATTTTAATAAGCCTTACACCTGTAGAAAATCCTATTGGCGGCGGGGAGTGGGACTGTGGGAGGTGGGACCATGCAGCCTGAAATTCTGTTCTGCAAATCATACATGTATATTGGACTCTGATTTTAAAGTTACTCATTTAGCCCTATGACCCATTTCACAGTGAATAAAGTACTAACTAACTGGAAAATAAGATATAATTCATGGGCTCTCAGATCTGGAAGAGAGTTTAGAAGTCAGCCAGTCTGGTGGTTTTCAATTCTAGATGCATACATATTAGAATCACCTGGAGAGTATTTTTAAATGGGCCTAATTAAATAAGAGTGTCTGGGGTGGAGTTGCTGAGGGGTCGGGGGGTGGAGCTCCCTGGTTCAGTGCTTCTCAAATATTAACAGGAATACAAGTCATTTGCACTTGTTAAAGTCCACATTCTGTAGCAGCAGGTCTGGGGCGGGACCCTGTAGTCTGCATTCTCCCAGGCTCCCAGGAGATGCCTATGCCATTGCTCCACACCTGGAGTACATAAGGATCTGGGCCAAAATTCTGCATTTTTCAGAGAAAAGGCACAAAATTATTTCCAGGGCCTTTGCATTAGTTAATGACAAAGCCAGACCTCGAACAAAGGTCCCTTCACTCATTACTAACGGTCCTTTCTGCTTTATGAAGTGGACTTCTAACATGGTCCACTTTCAGCTTCAGAGCAGGATGCTAAGTCTGCAAAATGAATTTTCAGTAGTTTAATTATTAAATGGTGGAAGAAACTTAGACCAGATCCAATCAGCACTAGCTGATGAATAGAAGTGGTATATTGGAGTCATTTAGGAAAAACCAAATCAGTATCTGGCCACCAAATAGTCTAGATTGGCTGCCTATGAATCCCAAATTCATTCATCAACAATGGGTTCTCTGCTATACTGTGTACCAGTTAGATCTAGTCCTTAAAATAGCAAAACCCATCGTAGAAAGCAAAATGACAGCTAAAAAAAAAAAAAAAAAGGATAATTTAACTTGTAAATTTGCAACTTGTTTTCCCTTGGTCTGTGGATTCTCTTGAGAAAAAAATATATAATCACTATTAATCCCAAGTACAACAATGGCAGGTAGCACTTTACCAGAATTCAGAGAACTGTTTTAGTGGCATACTTTATGTTTTTGCTTAACCTGGAATGCTATGCAAATGATCTTTTCCCCTCATTTATCAACTGTGCGTACAATTTGCATGGCTTAGTGCACACACTCTAGGAAGCAATTGCTTTGAATGATTTCAGGATGAAGAGAAAATCCAAAACTCCAGGTACATTTTTTGTTTTACACGATGTAATTCAGCCAAGCAGCTTAAAGCACAGCAAACCTTTAGGAGCCAACTGAAGCCATGTGGGAATTTGGAGGGGGTCAGAAGGCTCCTCTGAGCTTCTGGTAAATGCCAAGAGGCTTCGCCCAGGCCCATTATAGGATTCCTAGGGCCACGTGAGTCCTAGATGTGGGCCAGTGTCATGTGGGCTAGACGAATGCCACCACTGCCAGAGAGTAATTTTTATAGGACAAGGCTCAGTGCTCCTTGGAACAGGCTGGAGGGATGGAGTGTGAGGGGGGAATCGGCGCTTTTTGCTGTCCCGTTGTTTCATGCCTTGGTCAGAACCACAGGCAGGTCAAGTTTTTCTCTTACCTGTACTGAGTGTCCTGGCCTGGTTTGTAGAACCAATGTGGCTGCTCCCAGCCAGCATGGAACCCCATGGAACACTTAGACTCCAGGCTTTGGTACAGCCCACTGACTCGCTGAGTCGGCCTCCCAGCAAACCGTTCTTCTTTAGGGTAACCAACTGAAAAAGGAAAGTCAGTACTTTAAATTGCATATAGGCAAAACAACAAGATACTCTGAAGGGATTCCAAATATGGAAAATACAGTATTTAAAATCCAGAAGCATAAACACACATACATATATGACTTATGTAGAAAACAGAGCTGTCATTTATATGACTTATCAAAGAGTAAAGTAAAAATATATTTAAAATTTAAAACCAGTGAGGCATTCCACATGTTAAATATGCACATCCATATCTATTCCTTGTTATGTCTTAGGGTCACAATGCTTTTTGGAGTCCCTAACTACTGCCACCCCAGTGAATAAAATAAAGACTGTCTAAAGTCAGAGATGTTACAATTCAATTCTGTCAACACTTTGTAGACAATGGATAAATTTGCACCTTACCAATATTGTTGAATCCATATGATTCTCTTGCTTTGGCCTCAGTGTACTGGGTTGTTGTCCATTTGCCATAGCGATTGGGATCCAATTCTATTAGGTCAAAAGGAGGTTCTCCATGCAGGATCCAGTCACTGAGATATTTCCCTACCCCACCAGCGTGGATTATGCCATATCTTTCAAATACAGGGATAGGAAACCTGTTACTAACACATGTAGTTTTCAAATGAAACATGCTCAAATATTTTAAAGGGTCTCAAAGTTGGACTGTTCTGTGCTAATCAGAACACACAGGTAACATAATCTCTATGGAACAATTTTTTCCTTAAAAGTGACATGTGTAGGCATCCAAATTAAATGTGCCTGACTTGATAGCTAGTTTATTTCCAGTTTCAAGAGATGTACACTTGCAAAATAGCTCCTTATTGGGCCGGGCACAGTAGCCCACAGCTGTAATCCCAGCGCTTTGGGAGAATTGTTTGAGACCAGCCTGGCCAACAAAGTGAGACCTCGTCTTCACAAAAAAATTTAAAAATTAGCTGGATGTGGTGTCACGAGACTGTGGTCCCAGGTACACGGGTGGCTGAGGTAGGAGCATCACTTGAGCCTAGGAGGTAGAGGCTGCAGTGAGCCATGTTCATACCACTGCACTCCAGCCTGGGTAAATGAGAAAACGCTTGATGATCCTTGACTCCTACTTAGTAAGAACTTTGCTTTAGAAAAACTAGGAGTTGGAGGCAGGATGCAAACAGGCAGATGTGGCTGTACCTTAAGAGCCCTCCTGAGCTATGAATATCCTGATTGACAGGAAACACGGTGGGAAATATATATGTACTATAATGTCCCATCCATCTCTTCTCAGACTTAATTTAGGAACTTGACCCATTATCTTCGAAACTAACAGGCAAAGAGGCCCTCACCTGAGGACTTGTGGAAAGAGGTAGAAAGGAATACTGTCTCTTGTATTTTGCAACTAATAGGCCACTTGATGGGGAAGGTGGGCTTGTTTTCTATTTTCCTAAGATGATACTTTAAAATCAAGAACATGATGTGGAAAATAAAAGGGTTTTGCTATCAGAAAAGGGATCGGTTTTCCATTGGCCATGTGTAGCTCTACCCAGTCACTCTTGTCTAACGAAGACCTCTACTATGGATTCATCTGTGGTTTGAGTCAGGAGCTTCTGAGGAACTGAATGAGCAGAGAGTCATGGGGAGAGAACAAAGAAAAGGGGATACACAAGGAGACATCAAGACACAGAAATGCTAGTATCCCAAACGACAACAACTTAGCCAGAACCACAGCTGCTAAGAGCATGGGAGGAACCTTAGCAAATGCTGGAAATGCTAACGAACTCTTCCTCAACAAGACCCCTGTTTTGCTATTTCATAAAAATGAGTGCCTATATTTTATAGAAGACTATTTCTCAAAGAAAATAAAAAGGCAGCAATTTACATTCCTTTGGGCAGTTTAATAGACATGGGTCATCCAAATTATCCACAAACAACCTCTCTAAACTTCAAGAAAGCAAGAAAAATTATTAAATATATGCTTAAAATGTTTATTAAAGTTAGCACATTTACTTAACCAGGCCCAATGCCGATAGAGAACAGTTACCACTTTATTTTATTGAGACAGGGTCTTACTCTGTTGCTTAGACTAGAGTGCAGTCAGCTCACCACAGCCTCCGCCTCTCAGGCTCAAGTGATTCTCCTGCTTCAAGCGATACTCCTGCCTCAGTCTCCCAGGTAGATGGGATTACAGGTATGCACCACCATGCCTGGCTAATTTTTGTATTTCTTTTAGTAGAGATGGGCTTTCACCATGTTAGCCAGGCTGGTCTCAAACTCTTGACCTCAAATGATCCACCTGCCTCAGCCTCCCAAAGTGCTGGGATTACAGGCGTGAACCACCATGCCTGGCCAGAACAGTTACCATTTTTGAAAGCTATATTGGTGATAAGACTTGAAGGCTTATAAAGTTTTACCAACACCGAGTCCCTCCCATTTACCAGGCATTGTTTCCATCTAACATGTAGAAGCTGATTTATGCTTTAGCAAGTCTATTTTACCAAGGAGAAAGATCAACCCCCACACAGAGGCTAAATAAAGTCACACAGCAATAAAGACTAGATTCAGGATACAAATTCATTTATCTGACCCTGGAACACACACTCCTTGTTATCGACTTTCCTATCTTCAGTGGTTCTCAATCTTTGTTCAGCCAAGACACACACAGCAGATATGGCACTGTCTATATTTCTGACAGACTCCCAGGTGGAGCCAGAGGTGCTTTTATTTCCTTTGGCCTGGCTGCTATACTATCATGTTCTTTCCCTTTCAACCATGCATGTGAGCAAACAAATGGGCAGAGTGCGGTTATTTGGGTGGGAGCAGGGGGGAGGGGAATGAAATCTAATTTATTTCTAAAAGGTAAATATTTTACAAACAAGCTATCCAACCATTAACAAGCCCTATGTAAAATTCCACACAACTAAGTGTTATGAAACCTCTCTGGAGAACCCCTGGATTAGTAGCTAAAAGTATAAAAGCATGGGGAAAAGATCTGGGTATGATTCCTGTTCTGCCACTGTTGGCTGGGTGACCTGGGGCAAGTTATGTAACTACCCTGAGCTTCATTCTTCTCCTGTGCACACTTTCTTTATGGTGTTGGAGGAGAATTAATTGCCACGGCATTTGAAAGCACTTAGTATACTGCACAGCACGTAGTAGGCAAGGAATACATGGTGGCTATTGAGCCCTTGTATGACCAGTTAAAAGGACTGTATTAAGGAAGTGAGGTGTGAAGTGAAAGTAGAAGGGAACTTAATGAGCAGAGGAGGGTTAGGTTCTTCTGTCTCTACCATTAATCTGCAGAATTCCAGATTCTTTTCAATGGCCCTGGGCTGCTATGTTTTCGGAGTGTTTGTATCTGCTTTTTATAACTCTTCTAAATGACTGGATGTTACATCTTATAGCACTCTCCCCTCTAAATGTGCTGTTTATAATCTGTTCTAAGCCAGGAAAATCAGATTCAATTAAATACCATTCATAAGACATTTTTTGGGCTTTGTGTTAGTCACCTAGAAGCAGAAAAACCTGTTAGAGTTGCGACAAAACAAATGCCCAAAGTAAAATAGCTTTGGCTGAGGATATTGTGTGTGTAAGGTAAATGGGCACTGGCAAATATGTAAGCAGTTTGCAAACACCTATTCCCTGAACTGGCTGTACCAAGAATTACAGATAATATTATAATAAAATACAGATTCCTGGGCCCCCTCTCCAGATTCTGTAAATCAGAATCTACAGGAGTGGTGTCTGGAAATCTGTTTGCTTGCTTGTTTCGGTTCAACACATCTTTCATGGTGCTATGGACTGAATCTTTGTGTCCTCCCATAATGCATCTGTTGAAGCCCTAGTCCCCCGTGTAATGGTGTTTAGAGATGGGGCCTTTGGGAAGTACTTAGGGTTAAATGAGGTCATGAGGGTGTGGCCCTCATGACAGGATCAGTGTCCTTCTATGAAGAGATACCAGAGAGCTTGTTCTCTCTCTCCACACCCCCCACAGCCCCCCCAGGAAAAGCCACATGAACACACAGCCAGAGGTGGCCATCTGCAAGCCAGGAAGAGAGCCCTCATCAGAACTCTGCCATGACGGCTTCCTGACCTCAGACCTCCAGCCCCCAGAACTGTGAGAAAGTAAATTTCTGTTGTTTAAATCACCCAGTCTATGGTACTTTGTTATGGCAGCCCAAGCACACTAAGCCACGTGGGTTCTAGTGACCAATAATAGGAATTTCATAGATGAGAGGTATAGGAGGATAAAACGTGTGCATGTGACTAACCACATGGTCAAGACTCTGCTTCTTAATTTGCTCCTCAGATGACTCTGCTCCTCACCCAGGTATGAAAACCACTTGCCTCCAGAATCATGGATTGAGGGCACCGATACAAGCCAGGAGGGGCAGCCAATGGGGTATTCCATTATATTACATAAGAAATATCCTAGAAACCTCAACTTTAGGTAAGGGGAAGGCTTTTTGGTTTAGACCAAACCTGTCAAAGACAGAGAGGCACTTTGCCTACCCCAACTCCCCACTGTTATCTTCTGCACCCACCTCCCAATGTCTACTACCTGAGAAAATTAGCCACAGCAATCAGGGGAGGAGTCTGACATCAGTCACATGCAAATAGATGGGATTTCTAGGTTTTAAATAACTTGTTCTAGAGGAAGCAACTTGCTACTTTCCTTAGCAATTAGTTAATAGGGTGAGATCAGTGACACTATCTGCTTGTTTAAAGTTCAGAATATGCCTTATAGTCAATGATCCTCAATTTCTATTACTTAATACTAAAAGTCAATTGCAATATCAAAAAGGATAAAATATAGGAATAAATTTAACAAAAGACATGCAAAGTTTTTACTCTGAAAACCACAAATCATTGTTGAAAGAAATTTTAAAAGACCTAAGTAAATGGAAAGACATTTCATGTTCATAGATCAGAAGACTTAATATTGCTTGGATGTCAGTACTCCCCAAGTTGATCTACAGATTCAATGCAATTTCTATCAAAATCTCAGCTTACTTCTTCACACAAATTGGCAAACTGGTGCTATAATTTATGGGGCATCCAGCCAAAATAATCTTGAAAAAGAACAAAGTTGGAGGATTCACACTTCCTGACTTCAGAAGTTACTACAAAGCTAGTAACTTCCAGTAACAGTAATTAAGAGAGTGTCAACTGGGCGTCGTGGCTCATGCCTGAAATCCCATCACTTTAGGAGGCCAAGGCAGGCAGATCACTTGAGGTCAGAAGTTCGAGACCAGCCTGGCCAACATGGCAAAAATCCATCTCTACTAAAAATACAAAAATTAGCCAGGTGTGGTGGTGTGTGCCTGTAATCCCAGCTACTTGGGAGGCTGAGGCAGGAGAATTGCTTGAACCTGGGAGACGGAGGTTGCAGTGAGCCAAGATAGTGCCATTGCCTGGGCGACAGAGCAAGACTGTCTTAAAATTAAATAAATAAATAAATAAATAAATAAATAAATAAATAAATAAAATACAGTATAGTAGTCACATAAGAATAGACACAGATGAAGGAGCAGAATTGAGGGTCTAGAAATAAACCCATACATCTATGGTCAATTTACTTTATAAAAAGATGCTGCAATATAATAAAAATTAAATATTTGTTTTTTGTCCCCAGTTCTTGACACAGAGTTCATAAAACATTTCTGAGATTTACTATTTTTTGAACGTTAATGAGATAGCTTTTGTGAAGAGAGGAGGGCAATCCTAGACAGCTTCAGGATAGGGGCTGGTTGCCAGAAAAACCAACCATGTAATTACAGAGTTGGAACTTTCAGTCCCACTCCCTACTCCAACCTCCAGGGAGTGAAGAGGGGCTGGATATTGAGTTCAGTCACCAATAATTTAATCAATCATGCCTATGTAATGAAATCTCCATAAAGACCTAGGCATGGGGTTCAGAGAGCTTCTGGGTTGAACAGAGTGATGGGCTAGGAAGGTGCCTGGAAAGGGCCTAGTGGTGCTGCACCACCCACCCCAACCCCTCACATTTTGTATTATGTATCTCTTCTGTTTGGCTACTCCTGAGTTGTATCCTTTGTAATAAAAGAGTAAACATAAGTATTTTTCCAAGTTCTGTGATGCGTTCTAGCAAATTTTCAAATCTGAGGAGAGGGTTGTGGGAACACCCAGTTTAATGCCTCCTCAGATTTGAGACTGGTGTCTGAAGTGAGAGCAGTCTTGTGGAATGGATCCCTTAACCTGCAGGGTCTATATTAATTCTAGGAGTTGGTGTCAGAATTGAATGGAATTGTCGGACACCCAGTTAGTACTGGAGAATTGGAGAATTGGTTGTTGCTACTGGAAAATACCACATATTTGGTATGAGAAAAGGAATCAGAAAAAAGACATTACAGATGCCAGAATAATTCAATGACCTTTTCAATGAATAGTCCTGGGACAATTGGCTATATGTAGGAAAAGACTGAAGTTGGACACCTGCCTCACGTCATATACAAGAATTAACTCAAAACTGATCACAGACTTAAATGCAAAAGCTACAACTATAAAACTCTTAGAAGAAAACATAGGTTTAAATCTTCACAAACTTGGATTAGACAATGGTTACCTGTATATGATGCCAAATGTACATGTGAACCAAGAAAAAATACATATTCTGGATTTCATCAAAATTAAAAACTTTTATATTTTAATGGACACCATCAAGAAAGTAAAAAGACAACACCAGAATGGGAGAAAAGTTCTGCAAATCATGTACCTGATAAAGGTCTTGTATCTAGACTATATAAAGAACTTCTAAAACTAAACAATAAAAGACGAATTATCCAATTGTAAAAATGGCAAAGGATATGAATAGACATTTCTCCAAAGAAGATAAATGAGCGACGTGCAGGAGAAGCACTCCTGCTTGCACGTGCCGGCATATGGACTCTATAGGTGATTATATAAGCCCTCAGTTACATTACAACTTCCCATCCCAAATCTCCATCTGACCTTCTCCCTCTGGTTGTCCCATGTACCTAAGCTTAACGCTTCAAACCCAACCCATCAAAAATGGAACTCATTATTTTCTTGGCTCTCTCTCCATGACTCCATATAGACAGTGGTCAAGTTAGAAAGGTTGCCATCATTTGCCACTTTCTCTTCCCTTCAATATCTTACGGAATTGATCACCAAATCTAGATAATTTTATCTTCCATCTCTCAGTCTTCACTGCAGCTACCTTAGTGGAGACCCCAGCCTATCTATTGGATCAACAGAGCTGTGCCTCAGGCAGCCTTCCAGCTCCAATCAGACCTCACTGCCTTGTTGTCTCAATCCCAATGCCTAGCCCTAGGCCTGGCACAGAGCTACCAGTTATTAAACATTAGTTGAATAAATGGAGAAATAAAATGAGGAAGAAAAATAGAGTATTAGAAGCTGTGATATGATAGTTGAGTGGGGTTGACATCAATATTCACTAAATTAACGGAACAAATATTGGAAATGAAACATCAAAGAGGCAATGGAATCATAAATAGGAAGCAACCTGAGGAATTATAAAGAAATAAGTCATGTTGGACAAACATGAATTATGGTGAAAAATGCAGCAGATATATTAGACATTTGACATTTTGAATTATCTTTGTCACATTGTATTATGAAAACATCCTTGTAAAACTGGGGCAAATTGACTATCTGAAGATACACAGCATAAAACGAGACACAATTAATAGAAATGGCAGGAAATACGCAAAAAGAAAGCTCTAGGAGGCCAGGCGCGGTGGCTCATGCCTCAGCACTTTGGGAGGCTGAGGCAGGCAGATCACCTGAGGTCAGGAGTTCGAGACCAGCCTGACCAACATGGTAAAACCCCATCTCTGCTAAAAAAATACAAAAAAAAAATTAGCTGGGAATGATAGTGGGTGCCTGTAATCCCAGCTACTCAGGAGGCTGAGGCAGGAGAATCACTTGAACCCGGGAGGCAGAGGTTGCAGTGAGCCAAGATCGCTCTGTTGCACTCCAGCCTGGGCAACAAGAGCAAAATTCCATCTCATTAAAAAAAAAAAGAGAGAGAGAAAGCTCCAAGAAATCACTGCCCTTCTGTGTTCCAGGAAATAACTGCCCTTCTTTGAAATATATACAAGTGATTAAACTAGTACTTTTTTGTTATTGTATGATTCCTTGGTCATGAAAGGGAGAAAACTCTCTGGGTCTCTCTCTCAGCCTCCCACAATTCCCTTCTGCATCCTGAGAATATGGGACTAGATTTAGCTAAAATAAGTGAGTCTACAATAAATGTTGAATTACATGAAGATACTCACCCAAAGCCTATGGCCACCCAGTAGTTTCTGACCCCCTGATGGGGCCCCACCATAGGCAGAATGTCAGGAGAATACGTGATAGGACCATTGACGACATTGATGATGTCAGCCTTTTTTAAGACAGGAACCATTTCCATGGCAACTTCGATGTGTTCCATGATTCGATCTAGATCAGACTCAAAGAGTTCCTTTCCAAAACCTAAAAAGATTTGCCCTTATGGTCAGGATGCCCTAGCTGAGCTGACAAGTCCTGTAAAATGATTCAGGTCTCTGACATGGTCTACATTTAAAGATGACCTGTTAGGAAAGTACTGCCATTTTTTGTTGAAGTCTAAACTTGATATTCACTAATAACAGATGATTACTGAAAACGGTAATGTTATTGTCCTTGAAACAAAATCATAAAAGTTAACCTCTTTAATTAATAGAAAATTTAAATGTATTAATAATATAGTTTCTGATATTTAATCCAATCATAGTTTTTTAAAAAAACAAACAATAATTTGGTTTGTCAAGAGAGATCATATGCTTCAATTAACCATAAGAACCTGTTTCATCCCCCCCACCCCCGCTGCCCAGATGAGGGCAAATGGGAGTTTACAAAGTCATGGCAGAATCCTGGAAAAAGTAGAACACTGCTCTGGGATCTAAGATGATGGATTTCAGACCTCTTTTAATTCTCCTTTCAGCAGGGAAGGAATGGCATGGAGGCTCCTTCCTTCAGCCACCCCCATACACATCCAAGGGCTAGAGTTCTGAAAAGAGGCAGGGTCTCGAAGCACAATCCTCCTCTTGTCCTAAAAGTCACTGTGATTACAGGCAGGGCCACAGATGAGCTTCTAAAAGAATGTCTCCGCCAACACTGGTGATTTTTCCACATAGCAGCCAGCCACCTTCTTGCCCCTTCTGGGGACTGCAGGTAGGGTCATTCTCATGGAGGCCTGCAGACCACCAGGGTGGACTAGCACACACGGGTACCCATGCTCACGGACTGCTAACAATCCAGCTCTCCCTTCAAATGGCATTACTTAAATATTTGTTCAACATTTATTTGAAGGAGAAGCTGCCAACATGGGGGAATAGCAGAGAGGGAGGCTCTCAGGTGGCATTTCAGTCCTCCCTTTGGAATCAGGAGCAATTCCACTCAGGCTTAAATGTGCAGAGCCCACTCAGCCCAACCAAAGCCCTGAAACCAGCTGGCCTAACTTCTGGGGAAGGTGGTTTAGTGATCATTTGCTATTACTTGAGACTACTCTTTGAGGAGTAGGATGGAGGGATTCATTTCCTACCTCAAGAAGCTTGTGGAAGTATAATTTTAGGAAGTACCATTTCCTCCATTTATTTATATTTCCTGTAATATTTCAGTGCCCCGGTGATTTTTTTTAGCTCTCTTTATAGATTAAAACCTGAGGTACCTCTTTAGATGACCCAATCTTTAATCTGGTTCTGTGGAAACACTTCATGGAAAGCAAAAACAGATCCATCTCCCTTACTTGAAACGATAGTATCCCCTGCTTTGGCAGAGAGGCACAAGCCTTTTCCATATCCATTTATGCAGCATGGAGGACCTCCATTCACAGTATTAAAAACCCCGCTCTGTTATAGACTCTTAGGTTTTCATTCTTAGTAGGATGGATATCTGGCCTCTGATACCAGTTGTTTTTCCAGCTGTAAAAGTACAATAGCGGCTATATTCAAATCTTGAAAGTAGACCAAGCTGGCAGTGGATTGAGGAAAAAACGGGGAGGCAGGAGGTTGTGTGAGCAGGTAAAACTGGAGCCTTTCAAAGCAGCTAGAAATGTTCCTTCAGCTTCTCTACCATCAACTACTCTTCCCCCACTCCCTGCTGTGATTGTTCAAAGGGATATGAGAACAGAGCTCACCTCAAACCCATCACCACCAATGTCCCAGGTATCTGAAAGTCTAGTATTATGCTGTTGCCTTATTCTACAGCCATCCCCCAGCCATGGAGAGGATGAACCATTCGTGTCTGACCAGCACACACTTTCACTTGCTGAACCCACCTGGAGGAACTCCATTGGTGACCCAGGAGTCCTGAGCTTTCATTTTCTCCTGACTTTCATATGGACCAAACAAAAGCCCATCCCTTTCTTGTCGGAGGTAAAATGATCCTTCCAGGTCACGGAGCACAGGGAGTTCTCGTTTCAAAGCTTTCACTTCAGGTATAGTTGACGTAACAACATACTGATGTTGAACCGGAATGAGAGGATGTTCTAGTCCAATCATTTTACCTACTTCACGAGCCCAAAATCCTTAAACAAAAAAAATCATTTAAAAGTGTCAGCACATATATAAACACACCACAACTGACACTCATATAGCAATTTATATTAGAATAAAATGTTTAGAAGGCTTAAGTACTCATGGCAAAGTCTAACAAATGTCATGACAATCTAAACTTTTGTCATTGCAAAACTAAATGGGGGAAGAGAAGACAATGTTTTGCCTCTCCCAGAGATTCAAAGATATCTATGATCTACGGGAACTCCATTCCTGAAAATGTTGTTGCTCATAAGCAAAGGTAGGCAGGGAAAAAAATGAAAAAAATTTATTTGGAACAAAAAATAAATAATTCAAACATACAAAATGTACAAATGTTAATAAGAAGTACCATAACAGACTGCCCCTATTTGTGGACAGGGATGGTCAGGCAAAAGAGGCCCCCATGTTGCTGTGACCAACATCACAATACATAATGATAGACCTAAGAAAGCCCTACAAGCCAACTCCTCTATCCTCCAAGCCCTATTCTCCCCAAATCGTTGATGCCCAAACTCCAAAAATACAAAATTTTTCTGTTAAGTTAAAATTTGAAAATGGTTCTCCCAAAATTTGAAAACTTTGGGAGAGAGAGTTCATTAAATTTTATCTGTTGTTTTAAAAGTTTAATCTGAATAAGTTTGTAAGATCCTTTATTGTAAGGGCATAAAGGCACCAGAAGTCAAAACCAGGGAGGAAGAGGAGCCACAGGAAAGAGGAGACTGGTTTCATAAGTAGGTGGAGAGTTCCCAAGACAAATGTTTCCCACTTCACTTTAGCACAGAGATTGTCTTATTAGTAGAAGTGAATGTTATTTTTTTCATTTGCAAAAGATAGAACTGGATAATTTGTGGCTGAAAGGACCCTTGATTCTTTCCCAGGCTGACCCTTCAGTACACAGATGTGGGAGCTAAAGGGTAAGACATGCCCAAGGCCACAATGGACATCTTGTAATCATCACATCTTATTGGTTTTCTTGCTGCAGAAAGACTTTGTTTTAAAAATCCAAGGTACTTTCACTGTATAAAGGGATTTTAGAATCTAAAATAATAAAAATGCTTATTATTTGGCAAGGATATGCTGTTGACTGACCTATCATTAGATGATTTTGGGGCAGGGAGTTCTATTTGCTTGTGTGTTTCATAATAATTTTGAGTGATCATTTAAATGATTACACAATCCTATTTATTTCTTTAGGGATTGCATGCTAATTTTTTAACCATTTCCATCTCTGCTGGTTTGCTGAATCTAATAAGGAATTCTGAAATCTATCCTTACCAGGTTCCAACCTAGATGCAGACTCATCAATTATGAGTCACTCTGGGAACCTAGACTATGTACTTGTACATATAAGTTTATTTCCATGTAACTATCTAAAACTTTCCCTTGTACAGGTATTGATCGACTTACCATCTATGCAACTTACGACCATTCGACTTTACGATCGCTAGCCACGACTGCTCCGCTTCTGGCAGCACAAACGTTGCCCAGCTGGGCGTAGGACAGTGCAGACCAGCTTTCGGCAGCACTACCATCTCCAAGTGCCCCATTTCAACTGTACATATAGCCTACACAACTTACGACCAAATTATGTTACCACTGGTCCGTGGTCCCGACCGTGGTCGTAAGTCGACCACTAGCTGGTATTCTATTGTTTTGTTTGTTGCAATGGCTAAGTTGGTCACACTCATATAATAAACCCAGAAATGGGTACCCATTTGCAAACCAGAAATCTAACCTGTGGGCATCAGAGCTATTTGTTGGTGTTTTGTTTTGTTTTGTTTTGTTTTTTGAGACAGAGTCTCGCTCTGTTGCCCAGGCTGGAGTGCAATGGCATGATCCTGGCTCAATGCAACCTCCATCTCCCGATTTCAAGCCATTCCCCTACCTCAGCCTCCCCAGTAGCTAGGATTACAGGCACACACCACCATGCCCAACTAAGTTCTGTATTTTTAGTAGAGACGGGGTTTCACCATTTTGACCAGGCTGATCTCCAACTCCTGACTTCAGGTAATCCACCTGTCTCAGCCTCCCAAAGTGCTGGGATCACAAGTGTGAGTCACCACGACTGACTGCTTTGTTTTGTTTTTGAGATGGGGTCTAACATTGTCTCCCAGGCTGCAATGGAGTGCAGTGGCACGATCATAACTCACTGCAGCCTCGAACCTCCTGGGCTTGGGTGATCCTCTCATCTTAGCCTCCTGAGTAGCTGGGACTACAGGCACATACCACAATGACTGGCTAATTTTGTATCTTTTATAGAGATAGGGTTTGCCATGTTGCCCAGGCTGGTCTTCAACTCCTGGGTTCAAGGAATCTGCCCAACTCAGTCTCCTGAAGTATAGGAGTATTGGTCTTTTAGTAATTTTGAGACTTAATTTATTCTTGCTAGTAGGAAAATGTGAATTACCAATGTCAGGACTGTGTATGAAAATATAGTAAAGCAACATATTCTAGTTATATACAGTAGAACAATTTTTAAATATAAAAAAATCAAAATATTTAGCCTAGCAATTCAAACTACTGCAATATCCTCAATATATTTTTTTCAATTAAAAACATAAATTGAAGAAAACAAATTCTGTCCTATTTGAACATATTTAAGAATTTCTGAGTCCAACTGTTTGCTTATTAATGCACTTCATCATTAAAGTGGAAATGTATGCAGAAGTATCATATCACTATATTACTTCAAATTCCACAGCAAGCTCTATGCTGCTTACCCATAGACATCTATGGGGTGGTGTCCTTTAGCATTGTCTTCTTCTATATGTCAATCAAATTAACCTAAATCTAGCTAGAGTTACACTTTAGCTCCTGCCTGATCACCCATTAGGTTCAAAGGGAAGAGAGACAAATGTGAAAGACTCATTCTAAAATCTACCACTATCACCTGAAAAACAACTGAAAAGTCAAAAAATGACTAGTGGAAATGGCTTTCATTTTTTAAAAATGCAGTGATTAGTAAAAATGAGGTTAAAATGCAGGGTGAAGTTTCACAGACAAGTTTACTTCTGCTAGATGGTTTATATGATGACAATGATGGCTTCATGCTTTGACGCAGAGTATCAGGCAAAATTAAGCATTTCTTTTTGGCTGAACACCGAGCTTCATGTCAGCACAACCCAATCACATTTCTGATTTTCCATCTTAGGGAAATTCTTAAGTAAATTTTACAAAGTTATCTCAGACTTACCGATCAATTGGAAATTAGGTAAACAAAAATGTTCAGCACTATGCATAGAAAAGCCTGCATCATAATAACTAGCACCTGCCCATGTCCCTGAGCTGCACCTGAGGGAAAGGGTAGAGTGAAGCCAATTTGGAAAGCTTCAGTAACGAAAGGCAACTTAGACTACTGCCCATCAAGAGGTCGGGATCGTCAGAAACTTCCCCAGTTCTGCTAGCTCAAGAATACAGTCATTATATACTCTCTTCTGTAGAAACACCTGTACCATAGTGTTTTTTCAAAGATTTTCTTGCAAATCATCTGGTACAGACAGTACAGTACCTGAAGTAGTTATTTAAAATGCAGCTTCTGAGTCACTACCCAGACCACCTGACTTAGAATCCATTTGAAGCTTGGGAAACTTCCCAAGATGATTGTTATGCACACGAGCTTGATAACCAAGCTCTTTGGGAAGTCAATTTACCAGCACAGTGAGTGCTGGATTCTGCACCCACTCTGCTAGTAAATTGGAAAAGAAAGGAGTTGAGCAATCTTAAGTCTGGCACCAAGAAGCTATCATAACCTGATGCTAGTGTCTCCCAGACTAGGGCATGGAATATCAAGGAAATAATTGCAATAATCATAATAATTATTATACCTAATTTTTGTAGTGCTTTCTACCTGGTGATCCCTGCTCTGGGCACTTTACAGAATTAGCTTATTTACTACCCATAATAACTTTTCAAGATGGGGACTATTATCCTCGTTTTACAAATAAGTAACTTGCCTAAGTCACTCAGTTGGCAATGTGTCCCTGGGCCACAGAGCACCTACTGTCATGGACAATGCCGGAAACACATCATTTGACAAATTTTTACTCATAGAATTTTTTTTTTTATGGATACCCTGCAGACCCAGCAGCCTTTACATCTTTTTCATTCTGGTTGTATTTCCAAGTCCATATCCTGGCTCCTTTAATCAGATTTCAGTGCTGGTCTCAGGGCCTCACCTGAATTTGGGAGATACCCTGCTTACACTGAGAAACTGTGGGAAACATTCCACCAGCCACACACTGTCCAGTCATTTTATTATAGCATGATGCCTTCTGCAGATGGTTGCTTTTATTCATAAAATTGATCTTTGTTAGCTTCAGTTCTAGAAGGAAGCATATCCAAACTTTTGTTCTCTATTACTGAGGCTTACCCTTTGGGGGATCTTCTATCTTTTAAGTAAAGAATTTTTGAAAACAGACTTACAGATAATTAAACACACACACACACACACACGGCCCTCTACATGTCCTGTGGACTACTAATATGTAATCAGTTAGATTTTCTTGCTAACTTTTACCCAATGGAAGAAAAGAGATGGAGGAGAAAAAGATAAAAAAAAAGATTAGGGAGCAGAGACCTGATGTGAATGAGATAAAGAACTGAGATAGGCTACTTCCCACAAGTTTCAGCAAGGAGCTGCCTGGAGTTACCAGGAAAAAGGAGTGGAAGTAGCTAGGCAAAAAGCACAAGAAAAAAGAAAAATGGAGGCATTACCACTCTATGCGGCACCACACTGTCATAACTTCAGGGACTTGTTTTCCGGGCCAGCATGAGAAAGCTGTCCTCAAGGACCTCCTGCCCCTGCCCTCCTGCACCCCATTACCCCACAAGATTTCACAGCTGCAGAGAAAGCTTCATCTGGTAACCAGAGTAATAGGTTTCAGTCAGATCTTTTCAGAAATTATTCTATCTTCCTCTTCAGTGATTCCTTATTTGTTAAAGTATGTGGTTTAGAAAAAAATATATATTACAATGACAATTTATTATGTACATGTGTTTATCCATTTTAGGAAAACAATGGATAAATGTATTAAATTAAGATCTTCTATGTTATTTCTCAAAATGCCAATTAAGAATATATGATTGCCTGAAATACTGCATTGAGAAAAATGATGGGGCTTTGTCCAAGCCCATCTGAAATGAGTATGGCAATTGATTAGCAATCTGCTACAGGAGCTGGATGTGGAAATCTCAGTATATTACTTTAGTATTTGCTATCATGATGAAAACAGTCAAATGTTTTTAGGGCCTGAATTCGTGAGACCATAGAAAAAGTTGCAAAATAACGAAGAATCCTTGCTACTTGGGAAAAAAAAGTCTGAATTAGTTTATTGCCTTAAGCCTTCTGACAGAATTTAGACCAGAGATGCCTAAGGACATTAAGAGAGGATAGTATCAGATGGAGACTGAAAGTGAGGCTCAAAAACAAAGCGATGCTGTTTTGTGCCACTGCTCTTATTTTTTAGGCAAGTCATTTTATATTATTGCAAATTTCTAATTATATTAAAGAAAGCATGAGATTTTTATGTTTTTCAAATAGGAGGCATGGGTGAGAGAAATTCAGAAGTAACTACTTTAGACTCTTAAATATTGAAGACATGACTTTTTTCTAGGACCACTAAAAATGCTTTGCTAAAAATAATATCAATCAAAAGTTACAATACAGAGGAAAGAATCATAAGGGTATGGGTTTCTGGCTTGTCCCCATCGGATATCATTTGATCTGTTAAATAATAAAGATTTTTTTCATTTTATAATTTAAGCAAGAACTCAAACCCAGTCACTGCCTTATGCTTATTTTAGGTTTTATATTTATAGAAAAATATAAACTATTATCGCAGTTTAGATTATACAAGCATTTTCACTATAATTTATTTTGCATGTGTGATAGTTGAAAATGACTTGACATGCAATCAACCTCTTAGAAAATGTATTAACTCAAGAATCAAAAGGCCCAGATCCCAGCCCGGGCTCTGACATAACGAGCTCTGCCTGCTGCTTGGTCAAGTAACATGACCCTTTTGGACCTTGCCTCTGCAAATGGAAAATGAGTGTGTTGTTGGATTATCCCAAATATTCTTTTTGGCTTCACTACTCTGAGACCAAACTGTATCAGAACAACCAAAAGAGAAGATTATGAAATATGTTTAATAATGTTCTAGAAGGAAAAGTGTTTAAAATTTTTTGACTAGAGTCAAAAGTCATCAGAAATCGATGAGGGCGAACACAAGTGATCAAATCTGCTCTAAAAAGCAAATTGGAAACCAAGAGGATGCTTATGAATTTCAACAATAGAATTCAGTTATTAATATAGAGAAACAGTGAACATAGGAAGGAAAAAGAAGCGTCATTTGGAAAAACACAACCTGGAGCAAAATAAAATGCACAATGTAGAAAATAAGCAACTTTTTATGGACAGCCAAGGACAGAGTGATAGTGCATCCACCAACAGCAAAGTGATGGAGGGAGGACTTTGTAACAGAAACAGACAACATGTTTAACTTGGGAGAATGACAGTACTTCATGACAACGTCCATAGTATGAAACGTTATGGTTAAACATCTTCTTTCTTTGGCATTCGAAAAAAAACCCGCAAATTTCAAAAAAACGATACGCTTACCTGCAGCATTCACAATTCTATTTGCTCTCACAGACCCCTGTGGTGTTTCAACGTCCCATGTTCCATCTGACCTGGGTTTCAGAGAAGTTACTGGTGCAGGATATTTTAAAAGGGCACCATATTTCCTAGCTCCAGCAGCCAGAGCCATAGTTAGAGAATAAGGATCAATGTGACCATCTCCAGGATTATACAATCCAGCTAAAACCTGAATCAATCATAGCAGAGTCAATATAGAAACACATACATACTTATTACTCAGTAAACATATATCCTGCTAGCAAACATTTAGTAAAACTGGGATTTAAAAGTGTTTCTTGATCTGGGAAGTGACTGGGTCCCTGAAGACTTCATGAAAAAAAGGCACCATTCAAGTCCTAGACTGCTGAAAAGAAAAAGAAATAAACTTCAATCTTTTTTTATGCCTTCTTATTTTGGTTTCTGACATTTGAAGCCAAATCTAATTCTAACTGACATACCAATTATAATTTATATTTAATTATTTAATGCTGTTAATAAATCCACATGTTAAATAATATATCTGGTGTCAGGAAATTTATGTTTGATTCAATCATTCAACAACTAATTCTTGAATATCTACTTTGTGTCAGGGCTTCAGGCAAGGTACTGCGGGAAAAACAAAGAATGAAACTCAGATGAGATGGGTTGATAGAATGATTAGTGAAGTATTATATGGAGGTCTCATCTATTCAACAAAAATTGGCTGAGCGCCAAATACAAGCAAGGAGCTTTTGTCAAATGTCTTTTCTGTATCTATTGAAATAATTGTGTGGTTTTGTCCTTTATTCTATTAATGTGGTATTGCTATACTGATTAATTTTTAGAAGTAAAACCAACCCTGCCTTCCTGAAATACATTCCATTTGGTCATACTGTATAATCTGTTTTAGATGTTGCAGAATTCAGTTTGCTAGTATTTTGTTGAGGATTTTTGTATCTGTGTTCATAAGGGATACCAATCTTTCTTTTTTTGGAATACCTTTGTCTGATTTTGTTATCAGGGCAATACTGGCCTCATAGAATGAGTTGAGAGGCATTCACTTTTCGATTTTGGAAGAGTTTGTGAAAGATTGGTATTAAGTCTTCTCTAAATATCTGGTAAAATTAACCAGTGAAGTCATCTAGGCCTGGGCTTTTCTTTGTGGGAAGTTTTTGATTACAAATTCAATCCTTTCATTTATTATAAGTCTTGTGCAAGGGACTTTTTATTTTAAGGGAATTCACATTTCTAAAAGCTTCCAAATGTCACACTGGTGTTTTAAAATGGATACAACCTTGTTGTAGCAATCCCACATCTCTTTGGTTTGGTACCCTGTCCCAGAGGCAGAAGATACCCTTCACATATATTCCCATTGCTTAATGAATGCCCTTGAGAAAAATTTATGATAGTGAGGAGTTCCAGCAAAGCATTCAGGATTGACATATAAACAAATATAAGAATACCCTTACTGGTAGTGAAGGTAAAATTTCAATGCAGACAATGCAGTGAAATGCCAATCTGCCATTACACTGGTGTCACACACAACTACAGTCAAGGGACGGCCAGCAAGCAGCCTGCGAAGACTCACAAGTACAAACAACCCTAGCACCCAGGTCAATGATATGAGCCCTCAGAGACTAGAACTACTGCAGTGGCCACCAGCAAGGAAATAAGCATGTGCCTCCCCAACAGCCCCATCTAATACATTTGGGCAGTATGTATAATGCAAGGGAGTCAGAGAGCCAGGGTTCAAATCTCCACTCCAGCTCTTTCTAGTGAATGAGCTTGGGCTTACTAGGTAAACTGTCTAAGCTACGTGTCCTGTTTAACAGTAATATATCCCTCATAACATAGATATAGATGTAATTTTTTTTTATTTTTATCTTTTAAATTTTAGAAATAGGCTCCTACTTTGTTGCCCAGGCTGGAGTGCAGTAGCGTAATCATAGCTCACTGTAACCTCGAACTTCTGGGCTCAAGAGATCTTCCTGCCTCAGCCTCCCAAGTAGCTAGGACTACAGATGAAGTCCTACTACCCCACACTCAGCTAATTGTGTGTTTGTGTGTGGTGTGTGTGTGTGTGTAGAGATGAGGTCTCACTAAGTTGCTCAAGCTGATCTTGAACTCCTGGCCTCAAGCAATTCCCCCACCTTGGCCTTACCACATGCTGGGATTACAGGAGTGAGACATGGCACCTGGCCTACCTCATAATATTATTGTGAAGATTATATGAAATTATGCATGTAAGGACTTAGCATATTAACTGGTACATAAATATGTGCTGTAGTGTTAGTCATTTTTATTGTTATTCAAAAAGAATTATTACCCAGCAGGAAAAAATACTAAATTTCATGTCAAGTAGATTCTCTCAGGCAAATGTGGTATAAATTTAGATCCATACCTGGCACAGAGTCTGTAAGGGAAGTATAGCTATAAGCTAGGTGATGTTTGTAGCACAATGTACCATGATATTTCTTAATTTGATTTTTAAAATATTTTAATATCACAGTCTTTCTAGACATTTATCATATCAGGTTATCATTCTCTCTGCAGTTCTCAAACAGAAGGTTTGTGTATGAAAACCCTTACATCTGGGGGACACAATAATGGAAAGGTGTTGAAAATGTTTAATCAGTTGTCAGAGTTGAAAAACTAACAAGATTTATCATTATTACCTTTTTATATATCATTTAAATTACTCAAATTCCAAAGTTAATCATATGATGTTGCCACATTTAAAAGGTGTGTACAAAGTTTTCTGGTTTTAGTTATTCTTCTTAATAACTTTTTCTAATTTTAACTTAAGTCAACAAATGGTAAAAATGCCCTTCAGATAAATACCTTATTCATGTTGAGTAAAGGGAACATCTCTTGAATTTTTTCAGGTTCAATGATATACTGTTCTGTTGCATGCCAGCCAGTCCGAGTCATTTGATATTTAAATTCGTCTACCCTTACAGGCGTTGTAGCAAGTCTGATACTACCTGGCTGATGGAATCCCACCACCTGTGACAATAATTCCAATAAAAGCATATAAATAAGTCATTATTTGGTACTCAAACATGGCTCTGCTCCAGTATAATGAAAATGCAGCTGTACAGAAAGATTTATTATGAGTGAAATAAATAATTATGAAAATATTTGCATCTTATTAAAAGACACTCATTCAGCAACTACTGTCTTTACTAAGTGCCTCTTCCGTGCCAGGCACTATTCTAAGCCCCACAGATGTCGGGGTGAACAAGACAGGCAAAGACTCTGCCTAAATAGCATTTATACCCCAAAGTTGAAGACAGACAACTAATAGCAAAATTACAGTAGCATGGAATGAGGGTTAATGTTCAGAGTGAAAAAAATCATATGAAAAAGAGAAAGACAAAAAATTTATGGAGAAATTACATAGAATCAAAATGTTGCAATGCTTAGATTATCTGAATTGAGTTAAATATTCATTTGACATTTCTTAAAAGTCCTTCAGTTTGCCAAGCACTCAGTTACAGAGATAAAAGTATAGCTCTTGCCCTGAAGTTACTCATCATCTGTAGGGAGGACCAACAAGTAAATCAACAATTACAATAAAGAGAGATTCAAATTAAAAGAGAGGTGTGCACAAATGCTCTGTAAACCAAGAGATGGGATCTCCAGCTTTGACCTGCTTAGCAGACAGGAAAAGTCAAGGAAGGTTTCTCAAAGGGGATGACCCCGGAGAAGGTGGATGCTAAAGACAGGGCCAGGGGGAATGTTGTTTCAGAGGAAGCAGCAGAAAACAGCACACAACACAAACAAAAAGCAGTGATTTGAGACAGCTCAGCACATTCCAAAACTATATGTTATTGAGAGTAGCTGAAGCAGATAAGCAGAGGGAAGAGTGGCAAAAGAAACTGTTGGGACAGCAGGCAGAGGTCAGCTGACAAAGGTCATGTTCCTAAGGCCATGCTAATCCTTTGGCTTTGTCCAGTAGACTGTGGGGAGCCATTGGATGGTTTAGGCAAGGGAAGTGGCATGGAAAATGTGAGCAGACCTCAGTCTTAGCCTATGGATACTCTTTTGCCTGCCATTTTATCTTGAGAGTGTGAGTAAATATGAGAAAGGATAAAAATGAAAGTGAGGGGCTTTTATGAAGTACTGTTCGAAGGCATGTGACAATCTGGCACATACTGTTGTCAGATCCTGTGCAATAAGATTGCTGAAAGACTCTGCTTTCTTAGTTTCTAGACATAGTAACTGGCTAAAGATACTTTTGAAAGCTGCTTTTTATTCTTTCTTCATTTAAAAAATAAAGAATGGTTTATGACACGAATAATGTACTTTGAGAAATTAAGCTGAGCAAATTCTAGAGGTTAAAATTAAGTTAAGCAAACTCTAGAGGTTCTTACCTTAAATTCTCATCATATTTAAGCACTCACACAGTGATACACAACGATGCATCAAAATCCTCTGGAAATCTTACATGTTTCTGAGAAGCCAACCTCACAGTTTCAAGTTAAATGCATTTACCTGCCCTGTTTCTTCTTCCAATTTCTCATAAAGTTTGATGCTATCATAATGTATTTTCTTCAAGTTTATTCCAGGATGAAAATAAGTTGTTAAACCTGCCTTAAAAGCAAAGAGGAAAAGAAATACTGAAAAAAATTAACATTCTCAAAATGTTGACAGTTTACCTGTTAAACAGTAATTTAATGCTGGAAAGAAACTGAGAAGCACCAGCCAGTCCTTTGGGATGAGAACACATCAGCACCAGTCTGTGCACACGGGAGCATCAGGCTCATGACAGGTTTTAAGAAGCAATGTGAACTACGTGAGTAAAGTGAGAGCTAGCCAACAAACATACATGATAAGTGTCTGAAAGTTAACATGGATAGGGTTGTATAGAGATTAAAAAATGGAATGATTTAGATGGATGGTTTAGGACTACATGCTATTAAGAAGAATATGGGGGAGGCTGGACACGGTGGCTCACGCCTGTAATCCAAGCACTTTGGGAGGCCGAGGCAGGTAGATTACCTGAGGTCAGGAGTTCGAGACCAGCCTGGGTAACATGGAGAAACCCCGTCTCTTCTAAAAATACAAAAATTTTGCCAGGCATGATGGTGGACACCTGTAATTCCAGCTACTTGGGAGGCTGAGGTGGGAGAATCTCTTGAACCTGGGAGGCAGAGGTTGCAGTGAACTGAGATAACGCCATTGCACTCCAGCCTGGGTGACAGAGTGAGACTCTGTGTCAAAAAAAAAAAAAAAAAAGTATGGGGGAATGGCATATGATGTGGACTAAAGCCAGCAAAACATACGTGTGCTGCCTTAAGTGGAAGGACCATGGACTAACGTAGGATCTTCTTTGACCCAGTCTCCACCCTTCTCTTAAATGGAGCAGCCCTCCTGTCCCTTTCCCAGAATTGCAAAATTTAAGAATTAGAAAATTCCTTACCACTGGAGCCTGATGAATAGGTGAACAGACTTTTGTCAAAGCTTAACCTGTTTGATGTGCACATAGGTGATATACCGCAAATCTTTGTTGAATAAATACTGATTGATTAGTCTCAGAAAAAAGAAGTATCTAAATATTAGCTACACTAAAACCCCTTTTCTCAAATTTGGCAGATGCCATGTGGAATCCAGACAAAGAATTCTAAGCAATTATATGAAGCAGCTTTCTCTCAAGTGTCTGGGCCCTCACTGGGCAGCTGATTTATTCTGGAAAGCTCATCAGAACACAATCTGTTCACAATAAAATCTACTTAGGAGTATTTATAAGGTACTTTTATGGTAGTGGTGAGCATTTGGTCTTCTTGAACTCAAATACTCCATTAAAGTTTGTCAATCATCCTTTATAATCAAAACCCTGGGGCTTCTGTCTAGCACTTGTTCAAGCATCTGGACATACCCATGGCTTTTTTTTTTTTTTAAGAAAAATCCTGCCCCAGCTTATAGGTCATCCAGTAGCACAGCTCCATGTGAAAGCAGAGAAGGGATTCCATTACAAGGCAACTATAAGTCAGGCTCTTCTACTTCATGGTTAAACATGCTCTGCTTCTTCTACGTGTTGGTATCCAGTGTGCATACCAACTTTTCTGGTTCAATAATAGAGAATCCCTGGCCTTCAGGTATCTGCTAGTGATCCCTATTTTGTCTTCAATGTATCTCCTATATATAATTATGTTGAGAAATCTGATCATCACAAGCACTGGCCTAGGGTACTGATCCCCATTCACTCCTCAAGATCCTCTAAGCTTTATATGTGAGTTAAGCTAGACCACTGGAAAATTATCTATCTACACTATACAATCCTCTTCTTCCTCACTCCAGAAATTTTAAGTTAATTCTCTTTCATTTGAAAAGGTCACACTGGTTCATTTTTCAAAAACTCTTACTGAAGACAGCCCAATGTACATTGTGTAGGTAACGAATTCTTCTAGAAATTCGTGGTCAAGGAAAAGTTAGTCTTCCTTACTGCAACCGTATACCTATTTCTACCGAACAATGGACACTACCCTCTTTTCCCTGCTGCTACAATAGTGAGAAGTAAGATATGGACTCAATTTTCTCACTCAGACATAAAATTACTTAATTTTTATATCCTTTCTTTTATATATTGGCTTTTTAAAATCTGTGTTTAAAATTTGGGGCCACCCAGATTAGTGCTTCCATTTAAATTATTTGAAAGTGACATTGCACGTGGTATCTATTGCTAAGTGCCAGGCCTGAATATAAAGACAGCACGGTGTTTTTTTCTTCTCTGACTTCAACAAGAACATATTCAATGAGAAGTTTGAAAGAAGGCAAAATACATTGTTCTTATCACTCAGGATTTTATAGTCTGATTGAGATTATGAAACATTCATACATGAAACATGAAACATTTAAATCAAGGGTAAATGATTGAGTGCCAGACACATAGTAACTATGAAACTAAGTAAAGAAGATGCCAGAAAGGTCACAGAAGGCATAGGAAAGGAGTTTAGCTATCATATGGAGAAAGTGATTATAGTTGGTGGAGAAGATAAGGGAGGGAAGATAAAACAGAGATATAATCATTAAGAATTACAAACTCTTTATTTATAAATTCTTTTTATAACCCTTTATGAGTTCTTATAACCCTTTATTTATAAATTCTTAACAAATTAAGAATTTATGAATCTTTGTTGATATAAATAAATAAGTAGAGGAGAAGAAAAAGCTCTTCCTTAGACTGACAATAATAAGTATAAAAGGAATGATAGAGTTAGAAAATTCATCACTGAATGCTAAATAATGGGCAGCATAATGGATGCTAACTAGTGCTTCCCATATCTCTTTAACAATCCTCCCCGCTCTCAGCAGCCTCTACTAACTCAGAAAGTCCAGTGACTGATCTCAAACCATCCTATATTCCAGTGGTTCCAAATCTTTCTCTCATACATTTACACCCAATACAAAGTTTTCAACATCACCACTAAAATATGTATATTTCTTTCCTTACATGTGATATATAAATATTAATAGACATCATAAACACACAACTTAGAATAAGGGAAGAACTCAAAACATTTTTTTATTTTATGTATTGTGTAGAAAAGCTTTTGAATATGAAGCTTATTAAGAACATTTTAGCGAGAGCTATGTGATTAATACATTTCATTATTTAACTATCTATGCTACATTAACATTTGTAACAGCAATGTGAAGGCCTCGTTCTGGTTTTATGTTATTTTGAGACTGCTTTTACTGGCTGTATAGCTGCAGAAGACACCACTCAGTGATGCAAAGACCCAGGTGAAAGAAGCACGTGATTGGCTGTGTCTCTGCATCCTGACACCCCTTCCTCCACCTCAGTCAACACCCACACGAAGGTTTCTCTTCACATTTCACTATGACACTTCATGTTCTCGGGTCTGCCAGTTGTTGTTACAAACTAATTGGAAGGTATTGCATTTTTTTTTTTGTATTTTAAGTAAACGGGAACAAATCCTATTGAAACTCCTCATTTAGAAAAATTTGAAATGGGCTAAAAATTTGTTTCTCACATACACGAGAGTTTTCCTATGTGATATATATCATTTTGGGGCAGAAAACCTAATAATACCAACATTTCCAAACTTCCCTTTTCAAAATGCTCTCTTCCCAACAGGACTATTCTACAAAAGGCGATTATTTCTCACTTACTGAAAGCATCACTTTTACTGTGAAGGGACAGGCTGCATCTGTTTTTTTAAATATATAATCGGCTATGCAGAAATGACTGGCAGCCATTTGTATTCGCAACTCTTTTAACCACTGCTAGTAGATAACCAACAAACCTCTATGTAATACAACACTCTAAAGTTCACCCCTCTCCCTTTCATCACACATTTTATATATATATATATACACACAAACACACATATATATATATAAACACACATATATATATTTTATTGTAGTTTAGGTTCTGGGGTACATGTGTAGATCGTGCAGAATTGTTGCATAGATACATACATGGTGAGGTGGTTTGCTGCCTGCCTTCATCCCCCCATTATCTATATCTGGTATTTCTCCACACGTTATCCCTCCCCACCCTCCCACTCCCCACTGTCCATCCCCTAGCCCCCCAAAACTGACCACAGTGTGTGATGCTCCCCTCCCTGTGTCCACGTGTTCTAATTGTTCAACACCCGCCTATGAGTGATAACAATGCAATGTTTGGTTTTCTGTTCTTGTGTCAGTTTGCTGAGAATGATGGTTTCCAGATTCATCCATGTCCCTATGAAGGACACAAACTCATCATTTTTTATGGCTGCGTAGTATACCATGGTGTGTATGTGCCACATTTTCTTTATCCAGTCTATCGATGGACCTTTGGGTTGGTTCCAGGTCTTTGCTATTGTAAACGGTGCGGCAATAAACATACATGTGCATGTGTCTTTATAATAGAACAATTTATAATTCTTTGGGTATATACCCAGTAATGGGATTGCTGGGTCAAATGGTATTTCTAGATCTAGGTCCTTGAGGAATTGCCACACTGTGTTCCACAATGATTGTACTAATTTACACTCCCACCAACAGTGTAAAAGTGTTCCTATTTCTCCACATCCTCTCCAGCATCCGTTGTCTCCAGATTTTTTAAAGATCGCCATTCTAACTGGTGTGAGATGGTATCTCAGTGTGGTTTTGATTTGCATTTCTCTAATGACCAGTGATGATGAGCATTTTTTCATGTTTTTTGGCCTCATAGATGTCTTCTTTTGTAAAGTGTCTGTTCTTATCCTTCACCCACTTTTGAATGGGTTTGTTTGTTTGTTTTTTCTCATAAATCTGTTTTAGTTCTTTGTAGATTCTGGATATTAGCCCTTTGTCAGATGGGCAGATTGCAAAAATTTTTTCCCATTCTGTTGGTTGCTGGTTCACTCTAATGATTGTTTCCTTTGCTGTACAGAAACTCTGGAGTTTAATTAGATCCTGTTTGTCTATTTTGGCTTTTATTGCCATTGCTTTTGGTGTTTTAGCCATGAAGTCCTTGCCTATGCCTATGTCCTGAATGGTTTTGCCTAGGTTTTAGGTTTTCTTCTAGGATTTTTATGGTGTTAGGTCTTATGTTTGGATCTTTAATATATCTGGAGTTAATTTTAGTGTAAGGTGTC